ATACGATGTAGTATGTTTTTAACACACAGCAAAACAAACTTATTTGTATTATTTTTCCAAACATCGCCAAAAATTTTTAGGAAAAAGTAAAAATGAAAAATTATTTATATATTTTATATATATGCGAAGTATTATATATTCTGAATCTTACTAATTTTTATTTGAACAATAAGAACTATTTTCTAACTTCTCTAGTCATTTTTATAGGAGCTTATTTTTTACAAATATCTTAATAATTTTTAAATTTATATATCTTACTTATATTTCTTTTGTTTTTAAATTTAAATAAATATTAAAGCTTTACTAACCAATCTTATAATTTTCATACAAGTATTTTTTATTATATAGAATGTTATATATAAGGTCTCTCGTTTTTGTGCAAGAAAGCGCAGTATTATATATTCTGAATCTTATTAATTTTTATTTAAACTATGGGAATCATTTTCTAACTTCTCTGGTCATTTTTACACCCATCGAAAAAAAGTATTTATTAACAATTCCTTCATTAACTATTGTTTAGAAATATATGATGAACTGTTAAATTTTTTATTATAAAAAATTTTGATTACGCTGAATTAATTTAAATTGCTAAATTTGCTAAATTGGATATGAATAAAAGGGAAATATATTTTGCATTTGATTTTTGATAATGAAACTTTTAAAATGTCGGCAACTCGATACCAATTAGAACCTGTTAAAGTTATTTAAAAAAAGTACAAGAATACACTAAACAATACAGTTGACAGTATAAGATATGAAAATTCATAAAGAGATTTGTTAGATTTTGCATTACTAGTATAATCAATAACAACACAAGTTGGCATTATAAATTACGAGTTTACTGTTCAATATTTTGTAAACATCAAATTAAAAACATGATGTACGTATATTTCTGCTTGTTTTATACAATTAACATTTAACAAAAATACAGACAAATTATTATTTAACGCAATAATTAACACATTAATAAGTGGCAATAATTCAAGATAGATGGTAATTTAAATTGTCAAAATGTCGTAACGTGCGTTAAAAAATGTATATTTGGTATTTCCCAATTAATGTGTCATATTTGGCATTTATCTCTTAATATGGAAAATTAATAAACTAACAAATTTGACAAAAGTTTTCAAGCAATTCAAAGAAAAACTTTTATTTCTCTTATCTAAAAAAAGATTGAGTGACGCAAAAAAAAAAAATGAATTCTATACAACTCTTATTCATTCAAAGTTTAATTATGTGAAACTTTTCTTTCTCCTTTGTTCTACTTTTTTTATAAAAAGAGCGCGGTTATATAAAAAAAAGTTTTCAACTTTTACAATACTTTTATAAAAAGAATGATAAAATAAAAAATTTTCTTTTTTAACATAGAATTAAACTTAGAGATAAAATTAAATTAGAAATAAATCAACGATGAGCAGAGCAACTAACAGTCTGGGACTATTTTGATATTAATGAAAATAATCAACATAAACAATATAAACCACAACAGTAATCAATTAAACAACTTAAAATCTCTTAATTTTAGGGGTTTTTTATATACTGCTTAAGTCGTTCTAAATAATAAGTAAATTTAGTTCAAGTTAATAATTCAATATTTACAGTTGCAATGTAATAAAAAAAAGATGTTTATTGTTTAAATTTTTATTTAGTTATTTATTTTCTACCTACATTTGTTACAAAAAGACTTTTAAACCCCCGTCATTTAAATCATTTGTTTTAAATATATTTCAACGTGATTTTTTGCACTAAGTTTTTTTCGTTGGACTTCCCAAACTTCATGCAAAGCAAATTGAGACAAAATATTGCCTAACAAATAAAAATGCTATTACTAATTTTATACGGGTAATTAATATAAAAGAATTTTTTTATCTGAATCTTGATTGGCATAATAAATATTCATCATTTATAAACATTAAATATGACCCAATAACAATTTATAGCAACGAACCAGCATTAAATATTTTAGGTTTTTAATATCTTTTTAAATGTTAAAAAAGAAAAAAAAACTAAACAAATAATCAAAAAAACTTTGAATAAAAATATTTCCAGAGTTTCATTTGTTAAAAGTCTACCGTGATGTCAAATACTAAAACTTTTATGAATTAAATGTGTTTCAAAGGAATTGCCAAACTCTGTCGATTGCAATGTATAATTTGAAGACTCCAAATTATTGAATAAAATGGAGAAGACAAGCTTTGGCTAAAACAACAACATTAGTTTGTCTCGGTATGCATTCATTATTTATTTTTAATCAAAAAAACTTGGTTCAAACCTTTTTTTTTAACATTATCTTGACCTCTTATAGCCCCGAGTTGCCTGTGGTCAACATTCCAAAAAATGGTTTAAAATCTTAATTAAAGTTTTATTCCACAAAGAAATTAATGTGGATAAATTTAGCTTAATATTCAACCAATCAAAATTCACTTACACTAAAGACTATATTTTGAATCCTCAGGTTTATCAGTTTTTCAATTTTTACTAATTCACGTTTTGCGTGCTTGTAAATAAGGTCAGTTTTGATTCTTTGATTTTCAGAAATATTTAATCTTTTTGCAGCTCAAAAAATTACTAAATTGTTTAATAACATATTTAATAAGATTTTATGCATTTTTCTTATTAGCTTTGCATCAAACACGTTTTTAAATTTAATTTAAACCTTCGTTGCTTTAAAGCAACATTGCGCATATCTGCTTAAAAAGTCAAAATGCAACTTTTTGTTTGGGAACACGTTTTGTTGACTTAAGGCAACATGGCGCATAAATGGAATTAAAATTAAATGTAAATTATATCGAATTTGTCTAATAAACAACATTCTTGTAGGTATAATTTAATAAATTTAGTCGGGACTGTTCGACTAAACAGGATCAATAATTTCAAAATGTCAACTGACAAAGATATGAAAAAGAAAGGAAGAGGCTCAGTTGAAATTAAAACTTGCCAAAATGATGGTGTTGAGCTTCGTGCAATTAAATGGTTTGATAATAGATCTGTTAACATCCTTACTACCTATGAGTCAGTATTTCCAACAACTCAAGTAAGAAGATGGGATAAAAAAGAAAAAAAGGAGGTTTTGGTTGATTGTCCCTCTGCAATTGTCACTTATAACAAATGCATGGGAGGTGTCGATCTCTTAGATGGACTATTGAGCTACTATCGCATTCCTGTTCGTTCGAAAAAGTGGTATCATCGGCTAATCTAGCATTTTCTTGATGTTTCTATAGTTCAAGTATGGATAATGTATAAAAAAGATTTAGCAAACGATAAAAAAATAATGTTGTTAAAATCGTTCAAGTTGTCAATTGCCGAATCATTGATTATGCAAGGAAAAAGGTTAATCAGAAAAAGATGACCTTCAACATCAGTTGATCTGATCTATAATGTGAAGAAGAAAATAGGTCCTGCAGCGCCAATTCCAAACAAACTTATTAGAAATGATGGGTATGAACATTGGCCAGAGTACACAGATAAAAAAGGGAGATGTAGATATCCTCATTGTAATGGTTTCCCTAAAATAAAGTGTTCTAAGTGTGATGTCCGTCTCTGTTTTACGCTGACATCCAACTGTTTTAAAACTTTCCATGAATCCTAAATTTCAAATACAATTATCTTAATAAGATGTAAAATCTGAAAAGATAAAAAACTTGGGCTTTTCATGTAAAGTAAAATTGTGTTATAATAAAAAAATTAGTACTTTATGCATCCGTTGTTGCCTGGAAGCAACGAACCCCAAATTGGGCCCAAAAATATAAAAATTTGTTTTTTAAAATTTCATTATTATATTAAGATGATAAGTGACTAAAATTCAAAAAAGTATATTTTTTACACGACAAAAAAATAAAGTGGGCTATAAGAGGTTAAATATGAACACAACATGTGTTGGGAGTTTAGGATCCCTTTAAGTATTGTATAAAAAAGTTTGATATTTTTAATTATAATTAAAAGTATAACATTATAGTAAAAAATTATTACAAATGTAATAAATTATTACATTTAAAATAAAATTTGCTATCCTATCTCTCTATTTTATCATCATCTAAATCCAGAGTTTTTTGCATGCCTGTAAACAAACTTAAACTAACGTTTAAGTTAATGGTGATCTGTATTTAAAAAATATTAGTATTTCAAGTTAATTCTCAGTTTTGTAAAATTCGGCTTTTTCTGTGAAAGGAATTATAACAAAAAGGTCCTATTTTGCATTAAATGAAAGCAGTGAGGCAATTGGTTACTGTCTTTGACCAAATACTTTTAATATAGTTTTGGTTATGATATATTGTGGTTTGGATTATGATGGTTTGGATTGTGATGGTTTGGATTAAAATTCCATAAGCTTCATGTAATGTATTTAAGAATGTTTTGGAAAATTATTGAATTATTATACAAGTTGTTCTATGTTGATACACAACATTCTCCATTGTTTCTAGTAACTTCTGGAGTCACAACGCTTCATCTTTAGTTCTGTGTTGTTTCTTATCTATATTATTATTCTTCCTGATATACTTACCTAGCAAATCTTGCTGATAAACTACATGAGTAAATAAGTTAAATAACTTTTTGGTCTTGAATGCGATTTCTCTTCTGTGATAGCTTGTTGGGGCTTATAATGGTTGTTGATTGGTTGGTTTCTGCCTTAGCTGCCTGGTTTGAGCCTCGATCTTATTGTTATAAAGTTGCATTTTGTTCTCTTTTCTACAAATACTACCTTGGTTTCTGATCAAGCGAGTTTTTATCTCATGTTCTTTTAGCTAAAAGTTTTTTGTCTTTAGTCAAATGTTTTTCTTAAACTTTTATTACTCTGTTTTTCTTAAATAAAGTTTAAATAGTAGCTTGCAATTTTGCTGGGAATTTGTTTAAAAAAAAAAAAAAAATTAAAGAAATCAAAAGAAGAAAAAAAAATGTACTTTACATCCAACCCTTTTTATATATATATAAATTGATTTACTGTATTGCATACATTTTCATTTTCATTGATTAATTTGTTATAAATATAATTAACATTTAAGATGGATCCAGAAAGTGATCGGAAGATCAGTGAACATGTTTTACGAATGCATCGATATCGGAATCCAGGAGAGCAAGATGGAGAGCGTACTTGCTTTTTTATTATATATTATTTTGAACATTTCAAAAATGTTTTTCAAATTTTTTTCAATTTTCATTTTTATTTAAGCTCTTCCATTTGGCGATAACTGTGAAACACTTTCAACATTTGATGCTGTTGATGCGCAACAAGATGATGAGGAGGTCACACGTGTTTATGCAAAAAAAGATTCACAGCTCTATGGAGAAGGAAGCAAAAAAGAAAAGTTTGTATCAATTCCATTTATGAAGAAATATATACACGTTGCAAAAAATATTAAGGTAATTTTTTTAGTATAAAATAGTATGTTTAGTTTAGTATAGGGCAGATTGTAATAAATAGGCTTTTTTTAATTTTTATTAGTCTAAATATTTTTTCAATAATTAAATAAAAAATTATTTTTGTTTAAAAAAAATCTCTTCTTGCTTATTTCTCCAATACTTTCTCTCATTTGTTACTGGTTCCCTAATATTTTAAAAACTGCATCTGTTAAACCAATCTATAAAAAAGACTCAAAACTTGACTGCAATAACTTTAGACTAATATCATTATTATCAAATATCAGAAAAATTATTGAAAAAATTAATGTATTCTCATATCTACCACTTTCTTGATATTTCTTTGGTCGTCAGTTTAGATTTTGTCTAAAACCCATGCTATTATTAGCATTACTGAAATGATTGGTGGTTCGATTGATAGTTGTTCTCTTGCTTATAGCAACTTAATTATTGGTTTTAATTGTATATTTAAAATCATACTCAGTTTATCTTGGTTAATGGGTTTGAATTCACAAAGAAAGTTCTCAAATATGTGTCCCACAGGGTTCTGTTCTTGGGCTTTTATTGTTTTTAGTATATATTAACAATTTGTTTCACTTTATTAATAATTCTATTATTCATAAAATTTGATTTTATACTTGTTTCAAGCATAGGCTTGTAACGTTAATGTTACAAAAATATATAAGTAACATGCATCATATATTGCGCCATGAAAAAGTTAATAAAAGAAGCGTTAATAATAAAATTATTATGCAAGAAATTAGTGTGTAATAATTTAACCTTTTGAGGAAAAAAATCTATCTGCACTACATCTGTGTTTGAAAAGAAAAGAAATTTTTTTTAAATAATTCTACTATAACTTTGCATTATAGTTATGTAATTTATATATATATATATATATATATATATATATATATATATATATATATATATATATATATATATATATATATATATATATATATATATATATTCCATTTTTAACTTACATTACATGTGCAACAACTTTATCAAATATTTGCCTATTTAAACTGTAAATTAAACTTTTAGCCTAAAGAATAAAATGAGCTAAAAAGTTTTGAGTTTGGCCAAAAGAGGGAGAACTTATTACTGAAAATGCCACTTAACTTATGTTACATGGAAAACAAGATAAAAAAATTGCTTCTTATTTTAGGTCAGATTTCTGTGAATCAGTAAAGCAGTTTGTATTAGAATCTTTCACAAGATGTTGAGAACTATATACTAATTTTAAAATATATAAAAATTTATCAGAGGTGACCGGCTAAGGAAAATAAACTTGTTTTTTTTTTATAATATTTATTTAACTTACATTACAGAGTGATTATTTTTGTGAATTTTTTATATCTATTATCAAGAGCTAGAGTTACATAACAAAAAAGTTGCAAAAGTGTTAAATTAATTCATTTAAAATAATTAATATTTTTTAAAAAATTTTAAAAACTGGTGGCACTCTTTTGATTTTATGTAACATTTATTAAAGTTTTCAAATCGAAAAACAGTTTTTTTGCTAGACCAAGAGCAACTTTAAAAAATTACTTTAGTATTACACCTTTATTCGTACTAAGTCATTTAAATAAGAAAATCTTTGATTTGTTGAAGTTTTTACTTACACTTCTTTTGTTTATACGTATTGCTTTTATTCATATATATATTCATACTTTCATTAGGTTGAATTTTTAGAATGCAAAGTATTTTCATTTAAAATCTCTTAAAATATTTTTGATGTAAAAACTACTATCACAGTTTAGGAGGGAGAGGAGTATATGCAATTGTATATGTTCAGGTATATGTGAACGTTTGTGACAGGAGGGAAGGGGTTGAGATTTGACAAATATAGGGTGGCATACTTTATGGATGACTTTATAATTTATGGATGACCTATCTTTTTTGTTTTAGTAAAACGATTTTTACCAAAACAAAAACAAAAAAATGTTTTAACTAATTTTAAGAAAACGATCAGATTCATTATTGCAAAAATTAATGAAAAAGCAAAATAATAAATTTACTACTGCAAAAATAATAACAGTCAAAATTTACATATTATTAGTTATTGTTTTTTTAAACAATAATTAATAATATGTAACTTAATGATTATAAATAAAAAAAGAGTTGCAAGACAAAAATTATTATTACTAAAGGTCCAAAAAACTTTCGCGGTAATTTAAAAATCAACTAATTAAAAACTATGTTTAAGCTATTTGCGCATTGTATAAATCTTTGTAGAAAAAACAACCAATAAAAAAGTATGCTAAAGCTACTTGCGCATTATATAAAACATTAAAATAGATTTTTATTTAGGGAGAAAGTTTATGGAATTATTTATTTAAAAATTTTAATGTTTTGAATTAGAATTTAACTATTTAATAAGAAAAAAAATTATAAAATATATTTTTTAAAATATATTATTACAGTTTCTTTTTTTTTGTTTTAAAGTTACTATTAAAAAAATTAAATTAGTTTTTATATATTAACTCCTCCGTCTTTTATTTTTATATTCGTATTAGCTTGTAACACTTTAGTGTTACAAGCGAAAAATTATTACAAAATTTATTTAGTCTTATTGCTATATTTATTAATATATTACTTATCTCCTGATTTTCATATTATTACTGTGTACAGAAACTTTCATGTTATATTATCTTGCATTCATTACTCAGCTTTGTTTTAATTTTCACATGCACTTTTCATCTTTATTATTATTCAGAGAATATTTTTATATCCTTCATTTAATGTTTTACATATATGTCGCTTACATTTTTAAGGTTTTTGTGCAACGTTCTTTTTCGCTATCATTTATTATTCTATTATTATTATGATTTTGGGTTTCGCGGGTTACTCATTTTCCTACACTTTTGATTGGTTATCATATTTCGAATGAGGTATCTATGACAGCGTTAGAGTTTATTTAAGGGTATTGTTTTGTTTATTAAAAATTTTTTTAATGAGGTATACTGCTTTCTGATTATCTTGGGCTTGTTTATGCTAATAATACCTATTTGGTTTTATTTCTTAAAATAAATTGATTAATATTTTTATGTTTCTATTAGAATTTTAATTTATTTTGTTTTCATGTTTTCTTTTGGTGGTACGGTAAGTGTTTTTATTTAGTTATTTTTATTTTGTTTGTTCAGTAAATCTATACTTTTTATATCATATCATCAAAAAAAATATTGGTGCTTTACAAATTTGGGGTTGGTTGGGTTTTGGCTATTTGTAGTGAGTCCTTTTTTACTGCAGTATGGAATAGGCGTAAGTCGCGGGGTAAAGCATAAGTGGCAATGACGTTTGTCTGACGGGATAAACTAGTTATAAATGCTGATCCTCATCGAAACGCCAGTAATAATAGACGCGACTCTGAGGAGATGTTTATTACTTATCACTACACTAATTATGTTTACACATTAGCATTAATATTTTTTTTCCATTATTAGTCCTTTCATTGTTGTTAGCATATTTTTAATTTGTTGAATGGTTTTTTGTTTTACAAATTGTTGACTGGTTATGTATTTCTTGTATATTTTAGTTCATATTGGTATTTATAAAACAATTTTTTTATTTTTTATTTATATATATATATATATATATATTTTATTATTGTTTGTTTTTATTTTTTTTTAATTTTTATTTTTATTATTTTTTTTTTTTTATTGTTATTATGGTTGAGTACTGTTTTGGTTGTATAGCTTGTCTTACTTATTTTTAAATATTCCTCTATTAATCTTTATTTTTGTCTTGACAACTGTCAAAATATGCTTTGTCTAATAAATAATTCTCCTTTATTCTAATGTACTTCATTTCTTCCCTCAGGCGTTCACTGCTCGTGTGTGACCATTCGGCGAATTTTATATGCCAAAGTTTTTAAATATATATATATATATATATATATATATTTATATATATATATATGTATATTTATATATTTATGGATGACCCATCTTTTTTGTTTTAGTAAAACGATTTTTACCAAAACAAAAACAAAAAAATGTTTTAACTAATTTTTTTATATAGGAGAATAACAAATTATTCTTTTTTTTTTTAAATGTCTAAATAAAAATATAGATATAATTTTTATTTTTATTTATTTATGTATATTTATATGTAAACTAAAATAAGAATACATAAACAAATTAAAAAAACAATATAATTTTAATTTACATTAAAAAAAGATTTCTATTTTAAATTCTCTTAGTATAAAAAGTTTCACTTAGAACGAAATAAGAATTATGTAATGGCGTAATTCATTTTGTAAACAAAAACTTAATGGAATTGCCCATATATATATATATATATATATATATATATATATATATATATATATATATATATATATATATATATATATATATATATATATATATATATATGTATATATATATATATATATATATATATATATATATATATATATATATATATATATATATATATATATATATATATATATATATATATATATATATATATATATATATATATATAAATGATCACAAATAATTTTAAAAGTAACAACTGTTTTAGCTCATCATCTTCGATTATGCAGCTGTTGTATCTATTGATGAGTCCTATGTCTTGTACTGTACACTCATTGATAATCTTCATCAGTCTTCTCCGTTAAAAATTTACCGTCAGCGCACGAAAAAGTGCTGACTGGACAGTAATTATTTGTCAGGTGTGCGCGATTTTAAAAAATAATTGTTTTTTTACCTCTTCATTTAGAATTTGATTGAGAAAATAAATTTGTTTCAATTTAAAAACACACTTAAAATTTTTTAGCGAGCGCCTAAAATAGCGCCATCCGTAGTATTGGCGGGCGTGTGGGCGACTGCTTCATCTGAATAAATCTTTCCTGCATATCTAAGAAAACCTAAATAATGTTAGTAATTATCCACTCTCATGAATCATTACTAACAAAACTAAATTATTTTTTAAATTTAGTTCAGCTCTTTATTTAAGTTATTTAACTCATGACATGCCAGGGCTCGAATTAAGTGATTGCGAATTGCAATATCCGGAAATATCTGTGGTCATTAAATTCTTAGTTTTTTTAAAAACCATAAACACTGTTTTAATGAAACGATCAGATTCATTATTGCAAAAATTAATGAAAAAGCAAAATAATAAATTTACTACTGCAAAAATAATAACAGTCAAAATTTACATATTATTAGTTATTGTTTTTTTAAACAATAATTAATAATATGTAACTTAATGATTATAAATAAAAAAAGAGTTGCAAGACAAAAATTATTATTACTAAAGGTCCAAAAAACTTTCGCGGTAATTTAAAAATCAACTAATTAAAAACTATGTTTAAGCTATTTGCGCATTGTATAAATCTTTGTAGAAAAAACAACCAATAAAAAAGTATGCTAAAGCTACTTGCGCATTATATAAAACATTAAAATAGATTTTTATTTAGGGAGAAAGTTTATGGAATTATTTATTTAAAAATTTTAATGTTTTGAATTAGAATTTAACTATTTAATAAGAAAAAAAATTATAAAATATATTTTTTAAAATATATTATTACAGTTTCTTTTTTTTTGTTTTAAAGTTACTATTAAAAAAATTAAATTAGTTTTTATATATTAACTCCTCCGTCTTTTATTTTTATATTCGTATTAGCTTGTAACACTTTAGTGTTACAAGCGAAAAATTTATAAAAAATGTTGAATGAGATTTAAACAACATATAAAAGTATTTTATATCTTAATTAACAATATTTTTTATTTAAAGTATTCGATCACTGTTAAAGCCCCTTAGATTGTTGTGATTAGCGCTTATTTTTTTTTATATTTATATTGTACTTTATCGTGCTTTATTTTTCTAGTTTTATCTGATGATTTATAAAATAAATTAAAATATTAAAGTTTAAATTATAATCTTTAATAATAGTAAAAATAATAGTGATAATATGGTTTTACATTAAGATTTTATATCATAATCGACATAAATATTTTTTATTAAATGATATCTATTGAATTTAGTGATAAAACAGTTTTACGATTTTTAAAAAGCTAAAATTTTAATTACTGGAAGCATTTCCAGAAATCACAATTCGCGATCACTTAATTCGAGCCCTGCATGCTATAAGGTATAAAGCTAAATTGTGGCACCATGGTGTTGCACCAGATCTTTATTATGCTAGATAATCATATTTTATCTTTTTGGTCTTTAAAGATTTCATGTAGTAAAACAACAGTTGTGTCTATCTGTTTATTATATAATTTTACCTGAGCGGAATAGCTCAGGTATACAGAAAAATGAGTTGCTGGCAGGTATGAAAACTGATCTGATTCATTTTTGACAATTGTTTCTTAAAATGATTAAAGATTCTAAACTCTGGTCCTGAACCAATGCAGTATTAAAAACACCCGTGAAATCATAACTCTGATCCTGAACCAAATGCTGTACTAATAACAGCCTGGAAGGCATAACCCAAAACACATAGTGTCTATATATAATCCAAACAAGACTAACATCAAGATTGTGTTCCAGTAAAGTATATGCACCATTATGTATGACTGTGTTCTGCAGCTTGCACATTGTATTGTACAGCCTGAAACTGAAAATTCATCCACTGAGCTTGATCAAGTGTTCCTACAACAAACAGTGCTCAAGATTTAAAAGATTGTAAATTTTATAAATAAGGAAAACAAGATGAAGGGTGTGAATTCCAAAGAACTAATGTTTAAGGAAAAAAACTAAGCAAATAAAATTTTTTGGACCACTTAGGAATAGTCACATTAAAAGGATTTAAGACTTAATTGAATGACATGTAACACAAAAATGAATTTTTGTTGATGGCACAAGAGACGCTAGCTCTTTAGAGCAATGCCAATTATAGTATTTATAGAAATAAGAAAAAGAAGCAATATGTAGCAGAAGGCTCTTTTCAAGATCAAATGCCCACTCTAAGCAAGCAGAAAGTGTTGGTTTCTCATCAAGACATAAATTGGTAGTATCATCAGTGAACAATCCCACCTTAGATGTGAGAATTTCTGGGAGATCGTTAATGTAATTTAAAAAGAGTATAGAGCCAAGTGTAGAACCTTGAGGAGCCCCTTAAGTTACAGGATATGAAGAAGAGTGCTGTCCATCGAGGACAACTTTTATACTACAATTGGAAAGAAAAGATTTAATAATCTTAAAGATGTTACCTGATACACCGTAAGAAAAAAGCTTATTGATGAGAGCAATTTTATCAAAGGAAATGTTAAGAGACCTTAACCTCTCTACATCTATCTAATGCACAATAAAACCTATTGGTTATTACTGTTAACAAATCGGCAGTAGAAGGAAAAGATCGAAATCCATATTGAAGATAGTCAGGTGTTAAAACCCACAAAAGTTGTGGGTTTTAACACCTGACACTATAGACAAGCCATTCAGAGTGATGAGCATTGAAGTTATAAACAACAACGATATTGGGTGAAGGATAAAGAGAAACAGCTTGTCAATTTGATCAGAAATAACATTGAAAAGACTGCAGTCTAAAGATGAAGGAGAGAGATATAGAACAAAGAGAAAGGCAATAAAGTAAAGTTGTGCTAAAGAAAAGCACAAAAGAATAATCTGTGGATTCAAACTTAGTTTCCCTACAAATAGGTAAATTCTTACGAATATAAATGCCCAGGCCAAGCATGTGACTATCGGAGTCTTTACAAATTAAAGGAAGATAAATATTAACACTAAAATCACAAGATGAGACAGCTGAACTCAAATTAGTCTTACAAAGAGGAATTAGGTCTGGTGAACTTTGCAAGTAATAAGACTTAACAGAAGATAAATTACTTCGAAGACCATGAATATTAGTGAATGATACGTTTAGCGAACTTGGTGATGACTGTGGTTTTTTGTGTTTTATAGTTTTTTGTGTTTTATAGTTTTTAGTACTATAGTCATTTTAGATTTGTTGAAGAACTTGACTTAAGGCATAGATATTACTCAGTACCCTATTTTGTATTCCAAGCAATTGCCTCATTTCTATTAATAATCCCAAAGCTTTCCCTCTCCACGTTGTCAGCTCTGTTATTTGACCTCTTAAATTAGATGTTCATCAATAAATAAAGAAACGAATGTCACTGTTTATTTAAAAAAAACAATTTGTCGCGCCCTGCTTCCTTATAAATTTTCTTTTAAAATTCTTTTTAAATTATCTTTCAATATTCTAAAAGAAAGATTAAAATTTGAAACATAAGCAAAGCTCTTTTTTAATATCTTTGTAACTTCATTTATAACTTCATAACATTTATGAAAATTATGAAATAATTTTATAAAACAGGTTCTAATTTTTATTGACTAAAAAATCATACTTTTTATAAAATTAAATACTAATATTACCCTTTTTTTATATGCTTATATATTATTATATGAGAAAATATGGTAAATCAATTTTTTTTTGTTTTTTTGTTTAAATGTCAGCCTGTTTTGAGTAAACCAGCAATTGACCTCATAGTAAATGCATATGCTGACCTAAGAGATCAGGATGATGAAAATGCAACAGGAAAATGCAAGGTATGGTTTAAAAATTATTTTTTTTAAAAAAATTTATATTTAATATTTATTATTTATCATCATTTGTCATTTTAAATTAGACAGCTCCAGTTACCGCTCGTACTTTAGAAACACTAATCCGGTTATCAACTGCTCATGCAAAGGCTCGAATGAGCAAAACTATAGAAAGTGTAAGTTTTAAAACAGTTTTTGCAATGATGAATACAATTTGATGTTATTTTTTTGATCATTTTTTTTATTTTATTGGTTCTTTCTTTGTTTTTAACCATTACAAACTTATTGTAATATAAGTTTTGTAATGAATTTTCAAGTTCTCAAAGTTTTGACTGAAAACAATGTTTATGTTGGAGAGTAAAGAAGAGGAAAAAAATGGTTGACAGAAGACTTATGAAACCAAAAGTTTTCATCAGTCACTTATAAGTTATGAGTCAGGAAAACATAAATTAATACATAAACTAAAGTGTTTCTATTTGCTCACTTTGGAGGTAAGGTTGTTGAGTTATATCACTAATGCAAATAAAAGACAACACAGGATCAAGGATAAAAACTTTTGGTTTTGGAGATTATGGAGAAGACCAGCAAATCAGACTTTTTTAAAAAAATCTTTAGTATACCAAGAACAATAGTCATTATTTCCATTTAAATTTTTCTGTTATTAATAACTAATAAGTTGGTATTATTAATAACTAATTAATAACTAAGTTGTTCAAGATAAGGTATTAGTTGTTGAATAAAGAATTTATTGATAGTAAAATGATTGGTAAATAAAAAGTATGTATGTATGCGTGTATGTATGTGCAAAGGTGAACTAAATGATCGCGATTTGTGATATCTGGAAAAATATCTGGTCTTCAAAATTTTAGTTTATGCAAAACCGTGTACATTATAAAAGTATAATATTATGAAATTCAAAAAAAGAATCGTTATAAAGATATAAAAAAGTTATAAGTACATTAAAAAAATTATTACTATGTTATTACTTAACATTACTATGATATCACTACTTTTATAATGTACTTATAACTTTTATAATTTTTGTTTTGTTTTGATTTAACATTAAGGTTTTACAATAAATTGTATAGGCATAAATTGCCTGTCAACCTAGTTATATAATACTTGACGATTATAGAGTTTGTATAACTAATAGAAAATAAAATGTGGATTAGTCATAAAGAAGCCATTCATTTTTTAGATGGTTGTTCATCTAAAAAATGTATATTCATAATAAACAAGGGTGAATGTATATTCACCCTTGTTTATATATATTCATTTTTTGTTCATCATTCTTTGTTCAAACACCATAAGTAACTTTAATTGAAGTAGAAAAACATAAAAATTCAAATAATATTAAAAACTTTAGAACTTAAACTAATATGTACTTTATAAAAAGTTTATCATTTCAAAAAATGTTACTAATGGTCCGTAAAAATGTGTGTAAATTTTAAAATCAACCAATAAAATTTTTTATTGGTTAATTTTAAAATTACTACACATTTTTACTGACCATTAGTAACATTTCTTATGAAATAATAACACTATTATAGTGTTATTACTTTACAATGCAGTTAGAGATTAGAGTGTTATTACTTTTGTAGTTGTAAGTTTATTGTTTTGTCTTTTTTTGTTTGTTTTTTTGCTAACAAATTTAAGCTAATTTGCTCCATAAAAACAAAATACAGATATTTTTCCAGACTTCGCAAATCGCAATCACTTAATTCAAACCTTTTATGTATGTATGTATATATGTATATATACATATATATATATATATATATATATATATATATATATATATATATATATATATATATATATATATATATATATATATATATATATATATATATATATATATATATATAAAATTCAATTTTTAATAAAGACTTTTAAAAAAACAAAAATTTTTTTAGACTTTTAATAAAGACTAAAAAATTTTTATTTTTTTAAAATTTCAATTAAACGATCTACAAAGTTGCTTTATTATTAAACGTAATTAAACGTAAAAAGTTGTTTTAAACTTTTAGGTGGATGCAGAATCTGCTATTGAAATGGTGGAGTTTGCATACTTTCATAAGGTTTTGTTCAAAATTTTTTGCTTCGCTCTTATTTGTTTAATAACTGCTTATGAATCTAAATAACATAATTAATAATTTTTTTTTTTTTTTGGTTATGTTTTTTATTTTTTTCATTGAATGTAATTAGGTTGAGCAACGTACAGGAAAAAAGAAGAAAAATGAAGAGAAAAGAGGTTCAGATAGTGATTCTGAGTCTGAAGTTGAGCATGAAATTCAGCAAAAAAAACGAAAGAAAAAAATATCAGATAATGCAGATAAAATAACAAAGAAAATGAAACTTGTGCCAGGCGATGAAGGATATGATCCATTTGATTTTGATTTACAAGAAGTTGACAGCCAGGGTGAGTCTATTGAATCCTAAAATTGATTAATAAAATGTTTCAAAATTTTTACAATTTTTGTGTTTTAAAAGTTTAAAAAATTTAAAATACTTTTGTTATTTTATTAAGTTGAAGCACTTAGTTCCAAACATGATCGGGTAACAGAAGCTGGAACTGAAACAATTGATGCAGTTAAGACAAAGCCAATAATTACAGAAGCCAGGTTTTTATTTGTTGTATTTTTAAAACACACTATAAAATTTGTATATCATAATATCTTGATATAAATGTAGTAATATTTTGATATATACAAATTGTATAAAGTGTATTTGTATAAATATAAATATATTTGCACACATGAATTTAGTGCTACATTGATAAGATTAGTATAGAATGATATATAAGATGATAATAATAATAATGATAGTTAAGATGTACATATATTTATTGAAGGATTCTTAAGTGAGCAGGTTGTTTCTGCTATATATTTGTAGAAATAACCTGTTTAAATTTTGGATCTATTAGAAGAACAACAACAACAGAAAAAATTTTAATTATTATTTTTTTTATGTAATAATTGAAAAGTCTGACTATCTTCTTTATGTTGCATTGATCAACAAATCTTTACATATTTTCTTTATTGGAATGGTTAACAATTTTTTTCATGGCACAATCATTAGCAACAACAACAACAACAAAAAATTTGTTTTACTTTTGTATTTTGTTATTTTTACATTCGTAATTTGTTTTAGATGCATTTTCTGTTATGCTTATCCATTGTTTAGATTATATCTTTTAAAACTTCGCTTTTTATGTTTATTTGCTTGTAGCTATTTGTGATCTTTTACTGAATATATTTATTTCTTTTTTATAAGAATCAAAAAAAATTATTTTTTGACATAATTTCTTAAAATAAAAAAGTATTTTTTGCTTAATTTACTTATTTATTATTATCATCATCATTATCATCATCATCATTAGTTATTTACTTAATATATTATTAGGTATACTTAATAGTTATTTATCATGATTAGACTTTATAATTCTGTCGACCAGTCTTCTTTCTCTATTAGGCTGGTATAGATATATACCTGTGTTAGATTGTTTCTGGCCTAGTTAGATGAAATTACTTGTGGCTATGCAAATCTTCCTGTTAATCCTAATGAGGATACAGCTCTAAAACTTCTGAAGCCAGCTAACTTATGTTCAGTTTTTCATTGTAAAAATTTCTTTAGGTGGTTCCAACAAAGCAATTATCTTTGTAAATCTTTCATTTTGTACTTCTTCATACTAACCCTATGATTGCACTACTCATTACTACCCTAAAGCAGCCTAATATTCTCTTCATGATTTTCTTATAGTGATAATCCTTGGCCTGATGACTTTTTTTACTCTGCTGATAAATGTTCCTCTTTTGAAACCACCTTGATCTTTTATTCCTTCTTATCAGTTCTAAGTCAATTCTCATTCTATTCCATGGTTTTCATTTTCTTGTGCAACTGCTATATTAAATCGTTATACATTATTTTTTCATCTTTTTCAAAAAACATAACTCTCTTGAGAATAAATGCCTTTTTATTATTGCAAGAAATTGATGTAAATAGGCCAAGAAATCAGTGTAAATGATAAGCTCCATTATTTCCAGTTTATTAAATCTTGTAGTTCTCGTAAGTTTAGGTTCCAGTTTACTAAATCTCATATCTTATCTCAGAAGTTAGGTTTTAGAGACTTAGAAAATCTTTAACAAATGTAAGTCCACCATTTTACCTATAATTTATGGATTTGATCTTATTACCTCTCCCAAGAGTAAGGCAGTATTATTTTTCTTAAAGGTCTTGGAGTCTTTAATTGACAAATTTCTAACATCTCATTTTGAGTCTAACAGCTTACTCTCTGACAATCAAAATGATTTTAGATCTTGTTTTAGATCTGAGGCTGACTTGTTAATTGTTGAACTCTATTGTGCATTAGGCAAGGGCTATCACACTTGACATACATATTTAAAGCTTTTGATTAAAATTAGCATGCTGGTCTTCTCCAGAAGCTAACTTCATATGGTGTATCAGGTAAAAAAAATTTTAGATTATCAAATCATTTCTTTCTAACCACAGTTATTAAAGTTATCCTTAAAGGCCAACACTCTTCATTTACTTCTGGGTGTACCAGGGTTTATCCTTGGTTTTGCACTGTTTCTTATCTACATTAAAGATCTTCCTGATAATTATATATCTAAAGTGTCTCTATTTGCTGATAACTCAACTTTATACTCCTGTCTTTTATTTGTCTAGTTTTTTCTTGATTATTCAATCCTTTGAAACTCTCTCCCATATTTTTCTGACTCGTACAAATTTTATTTCAAAGTTTTCATGTCAACTGATTCATTGCTCTTTAACACTATTCTTTATTTTCTAATAACTCCCAATTTAATATTGGTTGCTGGAGCCTTGTTAGGAGAGAGTTTGATTTAAAAAAAAGATGTTATACTCATCATCATCATTAGATGTTATACTTAATACTTATTTTGAACATCTTTGATATGTTAAATTTTGTTTCAGAAATGACTATATTGAATAATTGTTGCTGTGAGGAGTTTTAACAATGAGTGAAATTATGTAGTTTTTTTTTTAACAGTTCTAATTCATTTTCATAAATTAAAGGCTTACCTTTCTTCTAAAAAAATTAGTATTTTGTGATGAGGATGTTCAATACCTAACCAAAAAGTTAAATTGTAATTTATTTATTTTTTAATATTTTTATATTCAGATTTCTTTTTATTCAAAATATGATTTTAAATCTTTCTACTAATAAAAACTCTAGAAAATTTATTTATTGTGTGTTTTTCTTTGAACATTTTGGTCTCAAAAATCCGAGTTCCATCAATTATTTTCAAAAGATTTGATGGATCATCAATTATTTTCCGAAAGATTTGATGGATCTTTTGTACATTTTTTCTGTAAAAGAGATCTTTTATTTTCTGAAAAACAAATTGATCTTCAAATAGAAATAATCTGATGATTGTATCTTTAAGATGAGAGATTATTTCAATTACTTTTTTTTCTATTTTTTGCGATATTTAAGTTTAAAGTTAGGTACATAAACTAATGAGTCCTTAGCAACGTCTTAGTTACAATCAAGTTTGTTCTATTATAATGAGAATAATAATCTTTAAGCTTTTAAATTTTTTAATGATTCAGTTGTCCATGTAGCTCATGTAGCTCAAATGTTTGGTTGACCTTTTAACTAGAATGATTCAGTTGTCCATGTAGCTCATGTAGCTCAAATGTTTGGTTGACCTTTTAACTAGAATGATTCAGTTGTCCATGTAGCTCATGTAGCTCAAATGTTTGGTTGACTTTTTAACTAGAATGATTCAGTTGTCCATGTAGTTCATGTAGCTCAAATGTTTGGTTGACCTTTCAACTGAATGATTCAGTTGTCCATGTAGCTCATGTAGCTCAAATGTTTGAACTCATTTAGCTCAAATGTTTGACCTTTCAACTAGAATGGAATACGCAGCTTATTAACGATAGTTTATTTTTTAAATGGTTTTTATAACACTTGGAATTTTCCTTCTTTTTTCTTTACTTAAAACATAATAACTTGACGAAAAATTCATTAATTTACTTCACAAATTCATTAATTTACTGCACAAATTACTAAATTCACAAAAGTTAATCAAAAACTAGTTTTAGCTTCATTAGTTTAGTTTTTTTTTTCGCTTATTCTCTAGTACAGTATGTATAGTAGAGGTGGTAGATTAATCAGTATTTTACATTTATCGATTAACGATTAAATTTCTAAAAATTAATCGATTAACTTTCAATTAATTTTAGGAAAAATGTGTTTATAACTTAATAAAAAGTAATTTATATTTTTTATGATTTTATTTCTCTTTTCGTCAGATATGATCTTAAAAAACATAAATTATCAACAGTGTCATTATTTAAGCTAGTTCTTAAATTAGTAACAAATAAACCAGCTGCACTAAAACTTCTGCTTCTATAGAAGACGGGGGAAGACTTAGCTTGGCATTATAAATCTTTTCTAAAGAACTTAGCCTGTTTCCAGTGCTTTCGAGTACTGCAATTTCACGTTTAATGCAAATCAATTTCTTGAGGGGAAGACTTACAAGTTAGCTTTTTAGTTTTTCCTGCTGCTGAAGTTGTATTAGATATTATTTCTGCTAATTCTTCAGCTTTAGTTTTTTTCTTAATGGTTCTGTATTACAAGTAGACTCTAACTTAGACTCACATGCTGCTTCTACTTCCTCGTGTAGAAATAAACGTAGGTATATTTCTCTAGCAGTTGTAGAAATTTTATTTTTATATGGGTATTTCAAAAGATTATCTGGAAATTCTGAGTCTGATTTAAAGTCAGCTGGATTATTTAAAAAGCACAGTAAACCAGCAATATTACAATTTCTTCTTTCGACAATTCTCTCCGAGACAACAGTAAATAAATTTTGACCAATGTTAGTATTTTGTTCTTTAAGGTTTTGTAGTAAAAACAAAATAATTTTATCAGATTTTATCAGATCACAGTTTCTTTTTCCAAGTTCCATAACACTTAACTCTATAACATGTAGAGCCTGAACAATATCAGAAATGTGTTTTATTTTTTCTTCTTTTAAAATTAAATCTGTTCTAGATATATCAACAAGAGCCTTTGCAAAAATATTTTTTAACTTTAAAAATCGTTTTAACATACTTATTAGAGAATTCCATCTTGTTTTAGTATCCAAAATAGGTGTAAGTTCTTTTCCTAAATCTGTTCTACAAATATTTTGAAGGGAATCGTATTTAAGTGGAGATTTTCTAAAAAGTTTGACTATTTTACAAACCTTCGATATAATAATGCCATAGTCCTCATTAAACTGGATTTCCTGTGAAACAGAGCTAATACTTTCCTCATTCCAGCATTCTTCAGTGTCGTTTTCATCATCAGGGATGGATTCAGATGTTTCATTTTCATTCTCATCACTAATTACTTCTTCTTGAGTTGTTTCTATTTCTAAGCATTTTTTCTTATAAAGAATATCACAAACAGCAAGATGAATTCCATGGCAGTAGCAAAGTTGGTGTGTAACTCCCATTTCTCGTTCTATTTTTTTCATTACTGATGCACCGTCAGTAACACATCCAAAAATATCAGTGATCAAATTTAAGCCAAATTCATTTAATTATTCAATAACAATATTAACAGCTCTTTCTGAAAGCAACAAACCTTTTATTCTAATCATTCCAAGACCATAGTGACATTTGTCTGAACAATGTACATTAAGACAAAAACCTTCTAGTTTTACCAGAAGTCCATTCATCAAGAGAAATTGAAAACCTTTCTCCTTTTAATTTTAATTAAATAAATGCTGAAGTTCTTGAACAACTTAACTTCATTGAGTTTGCGTAGTTTATAACAATTGTCTTTGTAGCATATCGATCGTAAGGGATTTTAAGTCCTTGAGCTTTTCAGCCATTTTTTATATCTTTGCTATTGGCCAAAGTTGCAAAAGGGATACAATCAACAGCAGTTAAACGAGCTAATACATCTTCAGCTTAGCTACCTATATTATTACAATAAGCAGCAATACTTGGCTGTATATTTTTAGACTTCTCTGAAAGAACTTTTGTCAAAAAAAATTTATGTTTGTGCTCTAAATGATACAAGAAACTTGAAGTCGATGAATGGAATTTAAGCTCGACTAAACAATGTTTGCACTCGTATGTTGATTTGTCTTTATTTTCCAATAAAAAATGTTTCCAAACTTCAGAGGGGTTTTTTCCAAACGACATTGTAAATGGTGGTCAAGCAGTTGCATTATAAAAAAGCATTGTTTTTGTTTGTTTATAATTATATTTGACCAGATGCCGGATAAAAGTCAACACAAGTCTTGTTCGTTAAAAAAACGTTTGTAAATGTTTCGTAAAAATCTTTGGAACAAAATAACGCAAAGTTGTTATATCAAAAAAAAAATTAATCGATTAATCGTTAATCGTTTACCACCCCTAATGTATAGAGAACATTTTTGAGTTTTTTTTTTCAAAATGAAAACAAAGTTTTCTTGAGTTGTTAGGTTTAAGGTTTGCTAGGATTTTTCATCATAACTAATTTTTGCTGGTTTTGCCGAAAAAATTGAACAAAAATTTAATTTTTTTTTTTTTTTATTAATTATTTGATGTAAATAAATTTGTTTGCAAATAGCGCTTCATGCTATAGTTTTTAGAATTTTAGGCAATTCATAAAGACCAAGTTTATTGTGTTAAAGTTAAATTCTTTATTTATAGATTTCAAACATTTCGTTCGTCTCTTCAGTCACTATTTAGTTCTGAACATGCGCAAACATTGCCTCTTTCAAAAGTTGTTGAAAAACTTGCTAGAGATTATCCTGATTCAAAATATAGCAAATCAGAAATCGACGCGGCTGTGGAGCGTATGACGGAAGATAATCATATAATGCTATCGGAAGGACATATTTTTTTGGTTTAAACTTGTCTTTGTTAATTTGGAACAAAAACAATGTTAATCATTGTGTTGGAATGCTTTCATGAATACGAAGGTTAACGTTCTATTTTTCCATTGTAAAAAAAAAAATTGTATATTATATTTTACCGTGAAAAATAGATATGTTTTAACACATACGTTTGTTATTATTAGCACTTTAATTAAAAATTGTTTTTAAAAAAATACTTTTCTTTAGGAGTGTAAGGAGGGAGGTGGTAATTTTGAGGTTTTGCTTTAGGTCACAATGACTTAGGGACCCCCATATGTTTTTGATAAATATTAAAAAAATCTATACAATCAGTTCATAAAATTTAATGAATTCTTTAAACTTGCTAATTTTTAGCACGTTTAACATGAAACTTTAATTTTTAGCTGTTCATATATTTGAACAGTGTCTTTAATTTTTAGCTGTTCATATTTGTAAAACGCTTTGATTTGGATTCAGATGTTCGTTCTATTTTGCGTTATTTTTTTGCTTTAAATTTAAAAACTTAAATTTGCTTTAAGCAAAATATTAAGACGATTATAGTTCATTTGAAATTCATTTAATTGAGCAGTTTATATTCTAAGCAGAGTCTTGTTTGGATAAAGTTTTTAATATGTTAAATAATCTATTATTTGTGAATATCTATATAAAGAATTTTTTTTTTTTTAGAGAACAAAATAAATCTAGAGTTAAACGGTTTATTCTAGGGTTCGTACTGTACCTGAAGTGTTGCATATTAATTTTTTAATTAACACTTTATTTTATCTGATTTATTAACGAAAGAGAAAACAAAATATAAAAGTGATATAAGAAACCTAAAACTATTAACTTCGTTTTAACTCTTAATTAAATTACATTTGGAATAAATAACTTTGAAACTTTAATATTTTTTAAATGTATTTTATATATTATGCAAAACGCTTTTGAATCAATCAAATTACTTGGTTAATTACTATTGATTTCAATAAACACATTTTATTTAAATTATATAAATAAGTGGAAAGAAAGCAAATAATTTTAAAATTAAGAATAAAAATTGAAGAAATAAACAACAACTAAAAGCAAGATTAAAAATGTTCGTGAGATATTCGGAAAAAAAAAATTTTATAACTTATTATAAGAAAACAAAAAGAACAATTTGAAAGTTTTATTAATACATGTTGTTTGCATTGTCACGTTTTGTATTTTTGTGTTTTGCTTATGCTGTCATATATTTTTGCATTTCTAGGAAAAAATCCCCCGTTAAAAATTTTTTTTTTTTAATTTTTTTTTTGAAATTGATAGATGCCCAAACCCTCAGTCAATTTAGCGGCACTCCATGTGCTATCTATTTGTCAGTCGATGTATGTATTTTTCTTGCATATTTTACCTATATGTCAGTCGATATATGTACAGTCCCTGTATGTTCTACCTATTTATCAGTCAATAAATGTACACCTCTTGCATGTTCTACCAATTTTTCAGTCGATTTATGAAAAATAAAGGATTAAGGTTTTGCTTGTAAACTAACGCACCTGTTATAGAAAAGAGACGTATGTCCATTTTTGCCAAAGATGAGAAATTTGGACAGTAAAAACTATGGAATATCGTCCATGTTATCTTAAAGTATTATGCTTCGATTATTTATAGTTAATGAATCATTAATAATTTGAAAAAATTGTGTATACGCTATCACGTTGAAAACCATTATAGAAAAGAGACTTATTGGACAATACGAATTTTTGGAGATATAACCCTTTTCTAAAACGGGGGTGATAATATGTTTGTATAAAATATGTATATTATAAACAAATATTACATCGACGTATCGTTTATTTAATGCGCTGTAAAAAATGGGGATTTTTTTCTGCTACCATTTTTTATATTTTTCCTGCTACCATTTTTTATATTTCTATAGGAGAAATGGGGGCATAACCGCATATGGAGGCACAACCGTTTTTTAACATTTCTCTTCAAAAAAATGTTATCTAATATGGCAAAAAACATACCACGCGTGAGTAAAACAGTTTCCTTCATTTTGCATATGTCAAAAAGAGTGACTGTTAGGTTTCTGAGAAATTGTGAATAATAATGTTTATTTTAATAAAAATATTATATTTACATCATATTTTTCTGACCTTCTTTTTGAGAATTAAGCAATATTTGATTTTAGTGTTAAAGATATGTGTTATCAGCATTATTTCATGAAGTGAAAGCCATTTTTGATAATACCATAATCTATTAATTAAACTATGAAACTGATTTCTTTCTAAAAACTCTCTTCTGGGGCAGAACTCTCTTTTAGGGCAGAACTCAAAATGTAAATGCAAAGAATGTCTGCACAGTATGCAAACATGCAACAAAATCATCAAATAATCTGAGTTGTGAAAATTGTAAAAAAAATGTACCATGAAAGGTGTATCCCCATCGATTTTTGTGAGGGTGCGGTTGTGCCTCACAATGGGGGCAAAACCGTTTTTTTCACTAAGTGTAATTTTTGTGTAATAACATTTTCAAAACCCTTTCAACTTTTTTCTTAAATGCATCAATTTAAAGCTTAATGATGTGATTATTGAAATAAACTGCTAAAAAAACACATTTCGTTTTTATTTTCATATAACATTAATCCAAACGTTACGGGGGCGGTTATGCCCCCACTTCCCCTATATACTACCCATTTTTCCTGCTACCATTTTTTATATTGTCCTATATTTCTATGTTTTGATTATACTATCGTGTACTTTTTTGTATTGTTTTTATTGTCGTGTTTTTTTTTTTTTTTGCACTGTTACTTTTTGTTGCTAATATTCAATTGATTTCTGATATTTTTTGTCTCAATATTTAAATATATCCTTTTGTTTTTTTCATCTTTCTTATAGTTTAATGTATAAGACCCCTCAAAAATTTTAATAAAAAAATCTTAACAAAAAACCAAATTGAGAAACAACTTGAGAAAAAACCAAATTGAGAAACAACTTTATAACCAGATTTTAAAATATGCAAAATAAATTTATTTGTTGCCATATTACCAAGTAAAATAACAGACATCCAAAAATTTTTAGGCCACCTCTGCCATTCTATCTCACTAACCAAAAGCATGTAAGGTATGATTTTTTGACATATCATTAACAACATCTACAAACTGAACTAAAGTTGTTCTAAACTGAACTAAAGTTGTTCTAAAAAACACAGTATTTGAGCTTGTTTTTCAAAATGGCTTATTTTAAAAAGTGCACTTTCTATATAAATCAAAAACTCCAAACAGTATTGTAAAAGTTCAAATTGTACTAGATGCAATTATCGTTTGATGAAAATCTGATATACGGTTAATGAGATAGGATAGCTGAGAGTTAAAAATTCACAATTTAAGAAAACAGCATTTAAATATTACATTAAAAATTTACCAAATAATAATGTCAAATACTCAATTTAAAATCAGTTATTTTTATAAACCAGGATCATATAGACAACCTTTTTGGTCATTCTCTGCGTCTTCCTTTTTTTTTTTTTTTTTTGCATCCACAAATAGCTTGTCGTCGCTTTTTAGATGTTGGTCGATTTTGATATTCTGCGAAAATTAAACGCTTTTTGTTCATGGTTGAACATCTTGAAGAGTATATATACCAGGAATCATATTCAACTTTTCAAATAAAAGTATATTAGCTTTTCTTTCAATATTAAAATTTGAAACAGCATCATATATACTTAACTCCAAGTGAAAATAACGAAACATACTTTGTTTTAGGTATCCGCATCCATATCATCCCAATAAAACTTTAATTCTGGTTTAGCGTCTTATTATAAAGGCATTTTTTTTTTGAGAGTACTTCTTGAGATATATCGATATATACAAGCAATAGATGAATGATGACTGAGATTGGAAGACCAGCACCTTGCTTGTAAGTAGATGTTTTTTTTTTTTTTGTAGTTAATTAGGTGTTCCCAGAAGTCCTTATGATCTTATCACAGAGCACCACGGGAGAGCATTTAACTGGAAGTTCACGCCTCCTTCCGTACCAATGTCGCTTGTTGAGCTAGAACTGGCGTCGAACCTCGGACCTCTGGATTCTGAGCCAGAGCTCTAATCTCTGCGCCACGGCTGCATGTTGAATTAGCTTTGTCCCGTTTATAATCACACAAAATATATACCATCAGGGCAATAAGTATGCCAATTATTTTCAACTGATGATGCAACATGGAACAATGATGCAAGTATGGCCTTTTTCTTACCTTCTTAACCATTGGCATTTTGCCTAACACCAACTCCATAGTAGTTTTATATGCGGTTAATTATAGCATTCAATAATTTGCTTTTACATCCAATTCCTTTAACGGTCTTTTTCAAAGTTCTTAATATACTACCGACTCGTTTCTGTACATGTCCAACATACTCTAACTTACACACTGTTATACCAGGATAAGTATCCTTAACATAAGAATAGCTTTTACAATTCCCATCACCATAATAGTTAACATACCTTAGTTTATTTAGCTCATTGATTCCTGTCAGTTTCTGTTTCTAGGCCCTGTTTAAGGTTGTTTAAACAATATATGTTTAAATCTCTGATTTTTCAGTAGATGATGTTTTTAATTAAGAGAACTAGATCATGCGCAATTTAATAGGTTAGTCTGGCTCAAAATATTTTTTTAATATTTCTAAGCTATGTTTTGTTATACTGTGCTATTTTTTTTTAAGATATTGTTGGATTAGCAAGGATACAGCTAAAAATAGTGATAACAAACAACCCAAAGTAGTTTCTGTAATAAACGAACTATTGCATAAGATGTTGAAAGATATTTGTATTTTTATACAAATTTATATTTACATATAGACTTCAGTTAGCCTTTGTGTTAGTGAAAGATGATTTATAAAATATTTTATGTACATAATTTTTAGTCCTTGGTTATTGAAGATCATCCAAAACTTATATTTTTCTGAAACATCCCTATCTTATGATAGATTATTTTCACTTGGAGTTAAGTATATATGATGCTGTTTCTAGATAGGGATGTTTCAGAATATCTAATGAACGTTCAAAAGACGTTCTGAACGTCTTTTGAACGTTCAAAAGACGTCTTTTCAGGACTAAATGCCGGCTAAGATATGTTTTTTATGATATTCACTCATATTCATCCTTAATAATAAGATATGTTTTTTATGATATTCACT